GTTCCTCGACGTGTTTCACTTCACCTTAAGGCCCTTTTCCTTATTTCAATATTAAGTTCTTTTTTGCCGATATTTTAAGTTTGTCATGTAGCGAATGGACTTGCGTTTACCAAACACTTGATTTTATCCAGTGGTCGAAAAGATTTCTTTCGTCTTGTTTCCTTTTTTTTTTTCTTTTTTTTTTTCAGTTTGCTGATTCCCTTAATTTTGACGGAGTGTCAGGGCAAAGACGGTTAACGAGCGTCGTCATGGGGCGAAGTGCGCTCTCCTATCGGCGATTCGTCGTTAATTGCAATTAAGCCGGCGGCTTCGCGGCTAAATGAAACTTTTCTCTATAGAGGTCGGACCAGGAGCCGTCTACAAAAAATCGTGTCAAGTTTCTCGCGGGCGCGCTGCTTTGAAAAGTGTACGTCCTTGCGATTGGTACATGATACCGAGTGGCAGGGACAAGCGAAAAATGCCGGTTACGAGGCACGAGTATCACGATGCGAGCATTCCGACATTCCAGCTAACCAGAGCTTACTGGCAAAGTAAACGAGCTCCTTTCAACCTCGCAGAGTCAAAGGAATTCTTATTAACGGTTCTTCTTATCGGTTTTATTAATTTTATATTTTTAGCGCGATATCGATGGACAGAAGGTCTTTTGAGGGAAAGGAATGCAATCTTTGCAGCACTGGCATTACTGTAATATTTATTATACGATCCTTGAATGCTGTTAAACCCAAGAGTTTGTTTAACCGCACAATAGCATTATTGATTTTTAATCGTTAGTAAATCGAAATTCAAGACGTTTATTCGGTTGCAAATGAAGAGGTAGTGTTATTTTATTTTTTACTTTTTTTATTTGCTATACTTAATGTAGTATCATGTATTTTTTTTTATTTTTAGATTGGGTATATGGATAGACGCCTACGTTTACAACGTATACTTCTAAAGTCGTCAGTTGCTTTAGTTTCCAATTCATTTCATGTTCATATCATACCGTAGTATTTTATCTTCATTATATTCTTCAATTATTAGCCTAGGATCAATAGTTGTTATGATAGAGTAAAAATATGAAAGGTCTCGATTTGGGCATCTATTCCACTCGGGTGGAATAGATAAGTAGAATTCGATCCCCCGAACGCGATTCCCAAATATTAATATTTTAGATTATTGCTACATTGTAATTTAATTATTTCGCAACAAACCAGAACCACGACTGGATCGTTAACTTAAAAATTCTGTACAAAGAAATTCATTATATTCTTCATTCATTATATTCTTCAATTATTAGCCTCGGATCAATAATTGTTATGATAGAACAAAAATATGAAAGGTTTCGGTTTGAGCATCTATTCCACTCGGATGGGATAGATAAGTAGGATTCGATCCCCCGAACGCGATTCCCAAACATTAATATTTTAGATTATTGCTACATTGTAATTTAATTATTTCGCAACAAACCAGAACCACGACTGGATCGTTAACTTAAAAATTCTGTACAAAGAAATTCATTATATTCTTCAATTATTAGCCTAGGATGAATAATTGTTATGATAGAACAAAAATATGAGTTCTCGATTTGGGCATCTATCCCACTCGGGTGGGATAGATAAGTGGGATTCGATCCCCCGAACGCGATTCCCAAACATTAATATTTTAGATTATTGCTACATTGTAATTTAATTATTTTGCAACAAACCAGAGCCACGACTGGATCGTTAACTTAAAAATTCTGTACAAAGAAATTCATGGCCGGTGATCAATGCGAGCGATGAACGAAGGAGGGATCTGTTCTGATGAAAATGAAAGGCGGAGGACGATCAGTTGCTTTTATCTTCGTTGAAAGAACCTTTGAGGATCATACTCGGATATGTATATTTCTCTCGGTCCCCCTCAATCGAACAGAAATACGCACATTCGTATTTATCCGCAGAAGTAAAGGTTTCTTCCCCCCTTTTTTTTTTCGAGTTCTGCGATAAGTTCCACAGCTGGTAAAAATAATCGTCTCCCAAAGGATAAATGTAAATGCCAGGAATGTTGGAATATCAAGTTGACAATATTCTAAAGAATATTTATCAACTGTTCAGATAAACAGCAGTTGAATATTAAATGATGCCTTCTCTGCAGATATGGTTTTGTCGATACATGATGGCAATGCATTCATGTCCATCAGAGTACCTAGATAAACATACAAATTAGAGAAATACGACGAGGAAATGTTTTTCGGTACAGTTTTATTTTCGTTCTTTATTTTGAGAACGTTCTGAGAGTTTTGTCAACTCGTGGAAAAATATGTATCTAAAAATGTCAGACATTTTAACTCCTCTCCTTATCTCCTTGGGGGATTTTGAGTTTCGGTGTTTCTATAAGCTCGTTCATAATGTAACGGACGGAACTAATTTTCATCGTTCATGGACGAAAATACATTTGAGCTCATCCGTGCTGATACTTCTTCACAAATAGACCGGAGTAATGTTTCGGGGTGATGCAAAGTGAGGATTTTGGAATCTTAAGGTGAAGTCAAACCCCATTCAAATCAGCTTATTCGAATATAACACTTTTTTTTAAGGGTATTAGACCAAACTGTCCGAAACTTTGAAACATCACTCCTGATCATCTAAGAATTGTCCTGACACATTAAAAATTTAGATTTTTGGAAACAATTTTTTAACTCAGCCCAGACCAGCACGAAAATGGCGCCGAGCTCTCATATTTCGATATTTTCCGTGCTTATTCCATTGTACAACTTTTATTCACTATTAAGACATTATTACTTTTCTATTTTTTATTTTCTTTCTCCAGAAATACGGGAAAATTCTAGAGCATCCAATTTTCTGGTCATTTCGACCGTGCCTTTCCTTCTATTTCTTTCTTTTTTAAGAATTACCAAAAAACTTATATGTTACGCTTCTGGCAACTTCTACCGAACCATCCTTTACACCCTGTATGACCGTAATGTCTACTCCTTATCGATTTGTCCAAACGAAAAGATCTTTACATTCTTTATTAGCCACTCTCTATCGTTACATAAAATCTCTCAACTCTCAACATATTTTCCGTGCTTATTCCATTGTACAACTTTTATTCACTTTTACGACATTATTACTTTTCTATTTATCATTTTCTTTCTCCAAAAATACGGGAAAATCCCAGAGAGCATCCAATTTTCTGGTCTTTTCGGCCGTGGCTTTCCTCCTATTTCTTTCTTTTTTAAGATTTACCAAAAAACCTATATGTTGGGGACCGCGTCCGCAGAATCCGGCGTGCAAGAGGTACTTGAAGATGCATTTCGAAATCATGACGGGATGCTAAACGAAGCTTGGTCTGTTAGCCTCGTTCTCCCCTGAGGGGTTCAGGGAAACCGCGAGCGTCCATCGGCCGGAGAAGCTCCTCGGTCCGTTCGTCTTTTTTATCATTGGCACCAAGCTCTACCGAAGAGCGCTCCCATATATTTTCGTAGGCTGCAAGAACCGCAAGTGCAGCTCCGGTTCTTGGTGCTGTCGTCCGGGCTGCTGGTGCGTTCGTTCACTCTTTATAAATAGCGGGCCTTTGAGCCGCTCGCATGTCGGGCGTGGCCGCGAGTCTCGTGAGCCCGATCGCGACAAAACCGCCAAGACCGCGAATTCTTCGATATTCGATGAAAAAGTCTATCGTAATTTCACGATATCCGTTTCTCAACATTAATTTCTCTCGTCTTCGAGCCATTGGCTGGCGAGTTAACGTGAATTCAGGATTTCAACCAGAAATAGACAAACCAGAATGAGATCGCTACAGTAGGTTGGACAATGAAAGGGAATGCAATAAAAAATTAATAATACTTCTGAATAATTTGTAGCCGCGTTAAGTGTTGGTTCTGAAATTCGCCTTTTTTATTGTTGAACATGAACGTGAGAATATGATTTGGCAGATGTTCAACTTTTAACAGGACTAGATATGTCCAAAATTGCAGTCCTCGGGGCAGCCTAGTTTAATATAAGGGTCTAGGTTAAGAATATTTAATTTTTTAATTAATATTATATGCGTCTTCTTAGTAGGAGGTAGTCAACGATTATTTAACGGTGAATGCATTACGGGAAATAGTGAGAAAAGTTCGTTAAGTAAAGTTATTATAATGAAAGGGGTGCGGTATTTTACAAATTTTGAAACATTATTAAATGCGTAAAAAATGGTATTATCCGAACAAGTTGTTAGAACTATTTCTTTTGTTATTTCGAGTGTATTGTAATGATCTACGTGTTTCGAGAGAGTTAGGAAGTGGAATGTTATTAAATATTTCGGGATTATATGCATGGAAGATTTTATTTAAGGTTTCAAGCACGGAAAGAGATTATAGTGAAAGGTGAAAGATAATGAGATAATTGTGCCTGATGCTGTTAAAGGGGTCATATATCGATTTTCTTCACACATTTTGAAATATTAAGTCATACTTATTTTTACACTGTTCTAGAAAAAGTATATGTATAAAGAACGACGTTTTATAAAATTATATAAAAACCTGTTGACGTCTTTTGCATATCCTTTAGATTAAAAAATATGCATATTGCTAATAAAATAATTATACACGTTTGAAATTCTAATTGTTGGCGTGAATTAATATATAATGTTATGAAGACCCAACAGAAAGTATTATAAACGACATTAACGTAAATTACTACGTTTTAACAGTCCTAGCTCGCAATTTGGGTCGTCCAACTGTGGGACCTTGCAAATCTCGTATTTACTATCAAGTAAACTATGAATTAAACGATTTACGATTGAACAAGTAAGGACTTCGTGATAAATAGCGGAGTGAGCATGGGTAACTAAAAGAAAGACATATTAATCAGGATTTCAATTTTATATTTTACATTTTATTTGGTGGATCTTTGCGATGCCCTTAAAACGCGACACTAATTATCGTATATGTAGTGAACAGTACGGTTGAATAGTAAAGCATTGCGTACTTGCGTACTTGCATAGCTCAGCTTGTTACTGCAACAATTCAAAGTATTTATCATAACGTTTTTATGTTCCAGATTCTCGAATCACACCTATGCCAACCTTTCCTAAAATGTCGGGTACCCTTTAAGGTGAGTACCTACTCATTAAACGGTTTACTCAACATCGATCTTCGAGGACACGCCATCGTCGTCGCAATGACGCATCTGTACACGCGATCGGTCTAAATGACCTAATCGAGAACGATAATACTTGATATCGCCCTATGGCTCGAGCACACGCACAGAAAGAAAGATTTAATTAAATTAATCATCGTTTAACCTACGTGCGCAGACATCGGAAAACCGACTCTATACGGAGGTTTGAAATCGGAGAAATAATCAATTAAGTTCTGTTAAAAGAATCTTTTGAACTGAATTATTTTCAATATGATGCATGATGAAAATAATTATTACAATCATTTTTACAGTAATGTACTAGCAAGTTGATCGGCAATAATATCTATAATGTCGTTGAAGTGATACATTTGTTTTATTAAATTGATCGATTTAAACAATAGACGTCAGTAGAAGTAAAGGAGTAATTAGCAAATAGTTTGTGCCCTATTTGCCTATTTCTGAATCCAAATGTAGTCAAGTGACAATTGATTATAATTAACGTACTCGAGTTATTAACTTATCACCCTGGTGTCGTCTCCTCAGCTGATCTTGACAGTCATCTTCCGAGATGTTATTCGCAGATAATTCATTTGCAATTTAGAAGCACAACAATGATAGTGATGATTCTCAAGTGCATCGAAATTCCTATGGCTCTTGATTTTCTACTTACGATTTAATGTCTTTATAATTCTATGTATCATCTCGATAATTTGATTCACATGAAACTAGTTTATTCTTGCCATTCATCTACTCTCGCAGACAATATTGTGTCTTACTGGTAAACATTAGCAATATACTTTTCTTTTTCTCAATTTCAACTTTTCCTCCGATAACTCCGATAATTTACCATTATTAAAAGAAATCTATGACGTAGCTATACCGTCAAGATAATTTGCAGAAAACTACTCGGAATTTCTCCTTATGAATTACTTTGCAATGACAATTGATTACAATTAACGTACTCGAATTATTAACTTATCACCCTGGTGTCGTCTCCTCAGCTGATCTTGACAGTCATCTTCCGAGATGTTATTCGCAGATAATTCATTTGCAATTTAGAAGCACAACAATGATAGTGATGATTCTCAAGTGCATCGAAATTCCTATGGCTCTTGATTTTCTACTTACGATTTAATGTCTTTATAATTCTATGTATCATCTCGATAATTTGATTCACATGAAACTAGTTTATTCTTGCCATTCATCTACTCTCGCAGACAATATTGTGTCTTACTGGTAAACATTAGCAATATACTTTTCTTTTTCTCAATTTCAACTTTTCTCTTCGACAACTCCGCTAATTTACCATTATTAAAAGAAACCCATGACATAGCTATACCGTCAAGATAATTTGCAAACAACTACTCGGAATTTCTCCTTATGCATTACTTTGCAATGACAGTCCGTGCATCGATATGCCCAACGGTTCCGTCGCATGTCACGAAAGTCTTGGTGTCGTTCATCTCCTCATAATAACATTTTCCACGGGTTCGTTTAACTCGATTATTCATCTGCTTGTCCCGCCTCGATTGCGCAGACTTTGCTACTTTTTCTTCTCAAGAAACGCACGATTCAATTAGACGTTTAAGCGAGGTATAATCAGTACCCACGCGTCTTCGTTACTTTAGACCGTCAAGTGGAACAGCGATGTGACTTCGTTACTCATTGTTTTGCCAAACAACTTGCGATTTACTGAACCGCCGCAAAACAAATAGACCTCTTCCATTACCGTTGCTCCTAAGTGCTGCACTCTTCTCGTCGAGTGCACGGGGCAGCACGTCACGTTTTTGAGATCCGCTGCTTCTTCGTTTTCCTAAAAACCATACCGTCGCGAATGTAAAATCCAAGCGAAAACGATTAACCGTTCTTTAGACCGAATTCAGTCTTCACGAAAGGCCCATTCATCGTAATAATTTACGCATTTAATTATATTTTCAAACCCAACGTCAGGGAAATACGAAAAGTGTTACCATTAACCTATTTTCTTTATTTTCTCCCTTTGAAATTTCCATCGGACTCGACGCTACATTTTCATTAGTGAGGTAACAAACATGGTAAGATTTGGAAGTGTACCATGATTGATTCATCGAAAAACGTGCGCCGTAACACACTTTATCACCTTTGAATCATGAATTCGCTCTTCGTGGCAGAACTAGCCCTCCAGGCCACACGAATGTAAAATCCAAGCGAAAACGATTAACCGTTCGTTAGACCAAGTTCAGTCTTCAGTAAAAGCCCATTCATCGTAATAATTTACGCACTTAATTATATTTTCAAACCCAATGTCAGGGAAGTACGAAAAGTGTTACCATTTACCTATTTTCTTTATTTTCTCCCTTTGAAATTTCCACCGGACTCCAGGCTACATTTTCATTAGTGAGGTAACAAACATGGCAAGATTTGGAAGTGTACCATGATTGATTCATCGAAAAACGTGCGCCGTAACACACTTTACCACCTTTGAATCATGAATTCGCTCTTCGTGGCAGAACTAGCCCTCCAGGCCACATATCTTTGTGGGTAGATCCGCCGTTGCTAGAGAGTTAACGCGATTAGTCTCGCGATTGCTCGTCGATACCAATGCGGTTTGGATTTTATTCCGTCGATAAGGTAGGGAACTGCGCTACCGTCCGCACTATTTGTCCACATTAGCGCGCGACCCAGCGGCTCGATTGGCCCTCGATTCCCGCGGTGCGTTTAATGGGATGCGCTGCGTTAATTTATGACGTCATTGGTTAGATGCAGGACCACGTGGTGACAAGGTCAGGGTCGGACCGACGGGCGAGAGCGGAATCGATCCTCGCGACCCCTGGGCGGGTGCAGTCACCATGGAGACCATCTCGTGACCCAATGCGAGCTGTACACTGGGAGAGACGTTGGACCGGGTCGATCGGTGCATCCCTCCACCTGGGATCGCAGCTGTTTGCCCGGCAACGATCTGCGAAACCTCTCCCGGTTCTAACGGAGTAGACGGAACTTGTACGGGCAGTGTCGGTCAAATTGGTACAATGGAATTACAGCGTTTATCGTAAATACGTTCGCAATTCCTTCTCGGCTGCATCCCGGGCGTTCCGAGGTTCGAGTTCTTAAAACGTTTTCCTCGGTCTGTAATGCTTGTAAATCGTACGTTCTTTTAATTATGTCCCTTAAACGTTCGAACGCAAAGAGGTGTTGTCTAGCCTTTTTTTTTTTTAAGAAAAAAAGTATGCATATGGAAATCAGGCCCAAGGGGTGAAGGTTAACCTAAAAAGTAGTAAAAACATAAAGTTCATTGTAAATCGTGCGTTGTTTTAATAATGTCCCTTAATCGTTCGAATGCAAAAATGTGTTGTCTAGCCTTTTTTTTTTAAAGAAAAAAAGGATGTATATGGAAATCAGGCCCAAGGGGTGAAGGTTAACCTAAAAAGTAGTAAAAACATAAAGTTCATTGTAAATCGTGCGTTGTTTTAATAATGTCCCTTAAATGTTTGAACGCTAAAAGGTGTTGTCTAGCCTTTTTTTTTAAGAAAAAAAGGTAATAAAAATGGTAATAAAAATGTGATAAGAACGCGCTTTATCTACCCGTCCCAGGCGGCAAGTTCTGCATCAGAGCAAAGCGGTTAGAGGTTTTAATCTAAACAAATTTCACAAAATACACATTTCAAGGTGGACGAGATATTTCTGGGATACCTCTTCTTTTGTAAAATTATTTATGAAGTGTCCTTTCTTTTTCCTGCCCCTGTAATCGTTAATTCGTTAGCTATTTCGATTGCGTGTAGTATTTCTTCTTCGGCCCAAGAATAGTGCATCGCTTTTATTTTGTACTTACCGACCATCTATGGTAGGTAATAATTAAAATCAATATAAATACAAAAAATGATAATGATAAATCTTGAGTATAACAAAAACAAATTCGAGAGCTGCCCGCTTAGAACTAGTCGCTGGGACAGGAAATCCATTACAATGTTGAACTCAAATAGTTAAAATATTTATGACAAAAATGGGTAATAACTTGTTAAAACAACTCCTTATCCAAAAACCTTATTCGGTTTTTTGTGATTTCGATAAATGGAGGAATCCCTTGATTTTCCTACTTTGTGCGTTCTTAATATAAATTCTAGAAACACATTCATTTTTAATTGGTAAGCGTCATCTCTCTGACACCTTCAATTACATCGAGCTTAGTATCGAGCGTTTAATTTTTTTAAACAGCGATAAAATTAAAATTATACTCTGCACTCTCTTTAGGCTTCTTTCCACCGTTCCGGATACTTTGTAGTAATAAATTCCGTCAGAAACCGTTTTCCTAGTAGTCAGAAAAAATTGTCTCCGTCCGCGTTCCATCAGCATGAGAGTTTCATCGGGGTCGATTAGTAATCCCTAATCATAATTCCTAAACTACGGAAGTAATACAGGGTATTCCTCCACCGGAAGAGTCTATCCCGTGCCGACCTTGACGCGTTCGCGGTAACTCTAGGCGAGGTGGAGCATCTCGCATTACCCGTCGTCTGCCGGGTGCGGTGCGCCGACCCTGACCTTCCTCTCTAAGCTGCGCGCGCATCCTGCTTCCCCTACCTTTCGTCACGAGGAAATCCGGAAGCCCCGAGGCCCCAGAAAGCGGAAAAACCGGAACCCTAGAATACTCTGTCACGGCTGGGAAATCCCTCCGCCTATTGGGAGCCCTCGGGAACGAAATAAGAGAATCCCATCCGGGGGGTGCGCCGAGGTCGGGACGTCTCGGATGAGCGAGGACCGAGGTCGAGGTCGAGGTCGACGTCATGCTCGGGAGTTGATATCGCATTCAATTTCCCAGGCAAACCTTCAGATTTCGGAACGAGCTCTAGAGCTCCGGTCGATCGTCCGGGGGGTCTCCTCGGGACTCGCGGGGAAGATTCGCGAGTGCCGGGATTTCCGCGGAACGGAACGAGAGGATAAGGTCTCGCGGGGAAGATTCGCAATTGCCGGGATTTCCGTGGAACGGAATGAGAGGATAAGGTCTCACGGGAAAGATTCGCCAGTGTCGGGATTTCCGTGGAACGGAACGAGAGGATAAGGTCTCGCGGGGAAGATTCGCGAGTGCCGGGATTTCCGTGGAACGGAACGAGAGGATAAGGTCTCGCGGGAAAGATTCGCCACTGTCGGGATTTCCGCGAAACGGAACGAGAGGATAAGGTCTCGCGGAGAAGATTCGAAGGTGCCGGGATTTCCGTGGAACGGAACGAGAGGATAAGGTCTCGCGAGAAAGATTCGCCAGCGTCGGGATTTCCGTGGTACGGAACGAGAGGATAAGGTCTCGCAGGAAAGATTCGCCAGTGTCGGGATTTCCGTGGAACGGAACGAGAGGATAAGGTCTCGCGGGAAAGATTCGCCAATGTCGGGATTTCCGTGGAACGAAACGAGAGGATAAGGTTTCGCGAGAAAGATTCGCCAGCGTCGGGATTTCCGTGGTACGGAACGAGAGGATAAGGTCTAGCAGGAAAGATTCGCCAGTGTCGAGATTTCCGTGGTACGGAACGAGAGGATAAGGTCTCGCGGGAAAGATTCGCCAGTGTCGGGATTTCCGTGGAACGGAACGAGAGGATAAGGTCTCGCGGGGAAGATTCGCGAGTGCCGGGATTTCCGTGGTACGGAACGAGAGGATAAGGTCTCGCGGGTCGATGTCGCGTCAGGATGCATTGGCAAGCCTCCGGGTTCACGGAGGAGCCGATTCGAGGGAAACGTCCGCAGTTGGGTCGCAAACGTCGTACCCAAAGAAGAACCGGGATTCCTTCCGGAATTTCCAACACCCAAGATGATATCATTTAGTGATAGTGAAATAGTCATCTAAAGGAATATATGTGCACTAAGCTCGGAGTTAAAATGCGGGGGGAAAATGCCCCGAAGGTGAAGTCGTGTCCCGTGGATCGATGTCGCGTCGGGACGCGTTGGCGAGCCTCCGGATTTCCGAACGGGCCGACTCGGGCCAAACGTCCGCAGTCTCCTTCCGACCGGGGCATTCGAATATTCCCGGTCCGAGGACCCTCGCGATCGAGTCTCTCTCTGCCTCCGACGCGAGATCGGAGCGCGCAGGGATCGCGCACCGAGGCTAAGGTCAGCCTCGACGAATCGATATCATCTGGGATACTAGGACTGACCTCCGCTCATACCGTCCCAATAGGCTGCAGCCGGAAGTTGGACGGCTTCGCGTGGCAACAAAAAAACCCTCCAAGTTCCCCCTGAAATCTCGAGTACCTGGGGAAACGTTGGGCTAAGAGAGGGAAATTCAACTCGTCCCGGTAATCGAGCGATAGGGGGACGTTAATCAAGGTTGAGGTCAAGTACCACGGTCCGGCACCATCCACGGAGGGCGTCGACGGATCTTCCTACCCTCGATTGGACGAACGATTCGACGTTCCTGGACGGTTTTCAGTGATCTCGTTGCGCGCTTTCCGTCGGTTTCGGTTCGCGGATCATGGGATCTTCCGGGAAATCGGAGAGCCTGGAGAACTCGGTGTTGGATTGGCTGAGGAGGGTCAGAGAATGGTGCGTGGAACGTAGAATCTTTCGTGTATTTCAGAAGACCGGCATGTCCAGCACCGTCGGCGGGGGCGGCAGTGCGGGGAGCGGGGGCGGCGTCAATGGGGCCCTCAGTCTGATGGGCTGCGTGAGGGAGGCGTCGCCTCCCCCTCGGGATCCCCTCGGCGTCGTCGAGCTCTCCACGCACCAAGTCGACGTTGCGCCCAAGGGTAAGTGGCTTTAGTGCGGAATAGCCATTTTTATTTCGCTTTGCTTATCTATCCTTAGTATTACTGGGTGATGTTTTATTTATTAACACTATTTCTACCAAAGGTGTCTTTCGACACCTTTTAAAATTTTTACTTGAAATTATTCTCAAAGTTTAATCATTTTTTCTCAATTAATGTTTTGAGGTTTCGTATAATAATTGTTGAATTTATTTAGCGGTATCAATTTCCTCCATTACTGGGTGATGGTTTATTTATTAACACTATTTCTACCAAAGGTGTCGAGACATCTTTTAAAATTTTAACTTGAAATTATTTTCAGTTTAATAATTTTTTCTCAATTAATGTTCCGAGTTTTCGTATAATAATTGTTGAATTTATTTAGCGGTAGAATTTTCCTCCAGCTCATCAAAACCTTTTGGTCGAAATAGGTATACACAAAGTCATGGTAGAAATAGTGTTAAGGTGATGTGAAAGTGGCGTCGAAGAGGTTTTGTTTATAAAACTTTTCTCTCTATTCGGTTTACCGAAGGGTTTGAAACTTTACAACGTGAACGAAAGAGACTATAAGGAAGGTCCTGAAACTCGTGTGATTTCAATTCCTATCAAATCTGTTTATAGGTATTTTAAAAATAGTTTATACAAAATGAAATTTCCCGAGTTTCAGGACCTACCTTAGGGTCTCCATATTCACGTTTTAAAGTATGAAACGATTTGAGACACCCAGTTTGTAGAAAAGTTTTATGAACAATTGAGCTTTCGGATGCCGCTTTGACATCCCCTTAATGCCTGGTTGAAAGATTCTCCCTAAGAATGATTTCTGAGAATTTATTAAGAAACATTATATAATGCTTTAAGGTGACGTATGAAACTGGCGTCTGAGGGATCTCGTTTATGAAATTTTTCTGTGAACCTGGTGTACCGAATCGTTTGAAATTTTACGATCTTAATGGGTAGACCCCAAGAAAGGTTTGGACAACCGTGACATTTTATTTTTTAACATTGGTTTATAAAAATTTTTAATATTTTATTAAAAAATGATATTTTATGGGGGTCAGAGTGTCACCTTTCTTAGGGATCCATATTTACTTGGTAAAAGTTCAAACTATTCGGTACCCTCCGTTTGTAGTAGCCGCACAAATGCCATTTTCATATCTTAATCGTTCCTGCAAGTACGGTATAAGTTTATGTAAGAAAATGAATTATCTACATATCTAAACCGACGGTAGGATTTATTTTCAATTTTTTACCGCTCCGCAAAGAATCGTAACACCTAAAAATAAAAATCGTACATATTAGAGAGTAACGTATATCGTTTAGGATAAGATAAAGTGATCCCATGTTGATTTAATCAATGCTTGTAATTACCGAGATATGGTCATAGACTCCTTTAGCTAAATTAAACAAAATGTACGATTATCAGGTATTCGTGACTGTGATTTTTAGGTATTACAGTTTTTTTGGCAAATAATGATTTTAAATTATTTAAACATGCAACGCTTGTTGGAAACTAGTTTTAGGCTGATTTAAGAGCACCGATTAAAAGATAGTTCATTGCATTTGACATGTTTTATCGTGGACTTAGTTGGATATTTTTTTTCGTGTAAGCGTAAATGTGAATGTTAATCGGGACAATTACGGGCTTGTATGTACATTAACGCGTTGAATACGATGTACAAATTGGCGCTGACAAGTGACCACGCGTGTCTATGGCAATTGCTCGGATATAGTGCGTAACTTCGTTAAAACGAGGCTGAAGTGTAGCAACTGACACGTTATAATTTCATTTATTACCCGCCCTTAGCTCTTGCTCACAATCTGAGAAGAGTACAATGAACTGTGAAGTGAATCATCTTTATTTACGCAAAGGCGGGAACCTTGCGTACACGAATTATCATTAAAAATACCGCTAGTCCACCCACGATCCGCTGATATAGCACGCGTCATACAACACGTGTCAGCACTCCCGTATGTACATTCTGTCATGAAATTAAAACAAGATTGTATTTAAACAGTAGAAGTATCCTCGTCATGGCGTTTCCGTTGCGTTAATCAATAATAATATACGCCATAGAACGTAAATACTAATAAGAAGCAATTTTTGCCAAAATTTGACGAATTTGTATTCTCGGTTTAACTCGTCAGTAATAACTGAACAAATTAATTATTTACATTTTCTCGCAATCATTAGAAGTAGAAGAATCAGCGTATCGTCATGTCGCAATTTAATATAAAGTAACCTTATTGAATTCATTAATCGACTTTGGTCAACCACTTTCTTCTCTATCAAGAGAAGGGAAAGACAAACACGCTTCCTGTTAAATTGCCTCGCAATTGTACAATGATTTCCCTGATTCTTTGGAAAACTGCCCCAAAAGTACTGTAGAGAATATTAAAATTTTATTGCAGATTAGAAATAGATGTTTTGCGATGAGAAATTACAGGACGCGACACAATTCGCGACTTCTCTGGACTCACCTATGTCGGCAGATCCGCCACTCGCGATTAACTCATTATCCTTAATTGATTTTACCCAAAAGAAACTCCCTTGGATGACGTAGTCTGCTTCATATCATACGTTTATATCTAAAATAATCGCTGCAATCACGTTCTGCCTTTGAGTGGGTATACAGACAACACGGAGTGCGTTAGGTGGCAGTAGGACAATGTAGCTTCTGAGAGCAACCCCGCTCTTGCAGCAAAGGGGGAAATTAATGGAAAAATTAAATTTTTCTATTCCACGTTATACGCCGTGAAAGAAAATCTGAATGTCATATTGTTAAATTTTTCAATCGAAGTATCGATGAATATCGATTTCTTGACTTTTGAGACCCTGCTCGTACACCCATTCCAAATGCACGGGGTAAATGCACTACATCGGAGGGATTTCCTGCCGCCTTCTGCGCTTCCCACCGCATCGCATTGTGCCTTCCGTTCGATTATCCGGCATCCGGCGAATGTTATCGTGCCGCTAACGCCTACGGTAATAGTTTAGACCCCTGACGGGATCGCTCATGCTCTACTCCGCGAAACGCAATTCGCAATTCGTGATTACGTTCGCAGAAGATGTATATAAAGCTGAAATTGCCACTTTAGCACAATTCAATGAAATTTATTGCTAATTCATTGCTATTTTATTGCACAAGGAAAAGATTTTTTGCTCATACTTTTCCAAAAAATGGTGGCGATTTCAGCTTTATATAAAGCTAGCACTGCCACAATAAAAAATAATTATTAAGTAAATGTACATCGATGAATTATATACCAGAATTTATTGCTAATTAATTGCTCGCAGAAAAACCAAATTTCAATTTTTTTGCTCAGCCCTAAAGGGGTGAATCGTCACCCTTAGTGATGATCGCAGGATAGAAACACGAAAAACATGGGAGAATCGAACTATTTGTTTACGTGGGAATTAATCGCTAATTAATGTAGGTTAGAAAATTGCATTTTTACGAAGATATTGGTTCTTCTCGGAGCAATTAATTAGCAATTAATTCCCACGTGAAGAAATAGTTAAATTCTCCCATGTTTTTCATGTTTCTGTCTTGCGATCAGCACTAGGGGTGGCGATTCTCTCCGATTAAAATTCGGTTTTTCTGCGAGAAATTAATTAGCAATAAATTCTGGTATATAATTCATCGATGAACATTTACTTAATAATTGTTTTTTATTGTGGCAATGCTAGCTTTATATAAAGCTGAGATCGCCATTTTTCGGAAAAGTATAAGCGAAAAATTTTCTTTTTGTGGAATAAAATAGCAATAAATTAGCAATAAATTTTGCAACGAATTTTATTGAATTGTGCTAAAGTGGCAATTCCAGCATTATATACATTCGCGGAAGGGAAGAAGATGGTAGTTTCGTTTTTTCGGTCATTTCGTCCTAAACTCTCGCTGGACAGTCTTAAGGGGATGGAAAAGTGGCATAAACTTTTCTCCGAACTTTATACCGTGAATGTAGAGGCTATAAGGAAGATCCTGACGCATATGGAATTTCATTTTGTATAACAAATTTTAAAAATATCTATGGACAAATTAAAAAAAAATTGAAATTTCATGAGTTTCAGAACCTTTCTTATACCCTCCGTATTTATATTCTAAAGTTTAAATCGATTCAGTACACTCAGGGTGGAAAAATGTTTCATGAACAACAACTCTTTGGTGCCACTTTCATCTCACCTTAAGTTCCGGACAAGGGACAAGGGAAGGGAAGGGATTTGAAATAACGAAATTATCGTTGTTTTTTTGCTTAGGTATAGGAAATAGACTCAATTGTCTTTGGTTTTATTCAATTAGTAAGAAAGTGGAATAACTCAGTTGTAGACTTAAACTGTCTCTAGTTACAGATATTGATGTTATTTTTGTGCAAAAATAGATGATCATATTCATTATTTTATTGTGAACTTTTTGATTTTACTATTCTGCCATTTTGGATGGAAGGGAAAACGGTTAGATAATGATACTTCGTCGTAGAATACAAATGTCGGTAAAACGTCTTTTGAACTTTGATAGGAGAATGTCGAGATATCTAATGATTATCTCCCCTAGATCTAATTAATGTGCAACGTTTTATCGCCAATCGTTTGACCTTGAACCATGATCGATAAGAGAGGAAGTAGTCAAAAATACGTCAGCTCGAAGCCGTATAAAGATAGCTTTAGCAAATACATTCACGCGAAATGGGTAAAGCCAATTTTGCGATAGCGGTATAGTCTAATCTTATCAATGATGCATTTTTGTTGATCCGTAATCACTCGGATACACTTGCTCGAGTCTTACAACAATCGTGGTATCATCGCGTTACCATCAATTTCGTTGACAGTACTTCTTTTCACCGGAATTGACAGATTCCTCGGTATGAAATGTTTCCCTATTTTGATTCTTTTTTACCGACTTCTGCGTTATCATAGTACGAAGTACATAGTAGAAAGTACAACCAAGGTGTATTTATTTTATCTATTGCGCCTGTCAAGGCGTTGATTAGCTTTATTCTCCTAGTCACAATATCCAAAATATTAGAACGATCATATATAATAATTATGATTGCAACACCGAATAACGGGTATTAGTACAAAATGAATTTTCTGTGGGCAGAACTTCGTCAAATTTATTTCTTGTTTCTTTCCTTAATTGAAAAAAATAACAGAAATTGTTTTCTCTTCGTTAATAGCTCAAATCAACCGTTTTTGTCAAATACGATAGTACCATTTCGTTTGACAATTCAAATTAATTATTTTTGCAAAATATTTCAATACAATTTGGCCCACGTTTGATACAAGTGCATCTATTGAACAAATTATAAATTCCATCGAAATCTCATGCCTGTGCAAGCCTACAACTTTCTGCGTAATTTAAAACCAAATGTAATTAAATAAGAAAAATTCACAAAATTATTTGTAAGTAGGATTTGTTTATGACAATTACCTGAATTATTTCCATAGCATTTATGATCATTATTTTAGTGATATGTAAGAAAAGCATTACAGTCACTGATTAATAAAAGCCTCGAGAACGTCAATACCGTATTTGAATTAATTCTTGCAAGTTTACCGAATTCTGTATTTTTTATATGTATTTTAACACCTTGACTGCAAAGAATTCCTAAACGTGCCCAGTATAAGAAACGCTTTCGTGGGATAAACGACTCCCAAATACAGTTTATTTCTTACCATTTTACCGTACAATTGGTACTCTTTTTATAACTACTCCGTTATCAAAAAGTTAACGAACACTTCAGGAACCAAGCAATTAACACATGGAATCTCGCACAACAACGGAGTAAAAATCAATTATTGATTGCAAAGGGAGCTACGAGTATCTGCTGATGTATGTTTTTTATTAAACTGTAAGAAATAAATATCCGGACGTTCTGTTAACGAGAACCTTGGTTTATTCAACGGCAGGAGTAAATGTTCATCGTGGCAATTTCCAATCCCAAGAGAAAGGACTTTGTTTGTAAGTCTCGCAAGGTGTTCCTTCGCTGTTTGTTGCAGATTCCCCTCTATTTCGCAATTAAGCGGTATCGACGTATTAACGAGTGCGTCACTCCGCAAGACTCGCCATTTGCTTATCACCGGCTTTTTCCTCTGTCCCCCTCCACTTAGAACCCCTGCGGCTTCTGTACTTCTTTCTCCGTCCCTCAAGGACTCTAGATCGATAGGACAAGAACCATCGACAGTTTAATCCACGTTATTACTCAAAAGCCCCTTGAGGAGTCTGCTCGCGAAGAGACCACAGCTCCCCGTCGATTCATCAACTTCATTCCCTATTTACTGCGTTAGAAGTTAGTTTCACTACTTATCACGCCCTGAGCCGAACAGATAATACGTCTGACTCTGAAAATGTAAGAAATTCGGACTTTTGTGACTAAATAACTTTCCGCGGTAATGGCTTCGGGTCAGAGATTGTTTTCTTGACTGTCTATGGAATGCATTCAGGTACTTTCACTGACAAACTTTCCTCCTTCATCTAATTTTCTTTTCAAGTTTAATTGATTTGAGCCCACTTTCCATTCTATGATAAGATCGTTGCTGCGTTGATGTCTTAGGAATTTCTCTTTCTTATGATTCTTTTTTTTTTTTTTTTTTTTTTAATGAAGATAGCACTTACAGTCGAACATTTATTTTATATCCTTCGTCATTGTTTTTAATTGAAAGATTCATGAATGCAATCACTATCTTTCTACTTTCATTGTAATTAAAAATTTCCACGTGTCATTTTTTATTATACGGATTAAAAGAAAGTAACTTGAAAATGTACGAATTTTTTGTATTCGGAAATGTCCCAGATCAAACTTCAAAAGTGATCGTAAAAAACAGTATAACAAGAGACGGCTAATAATGGTTCGAAAAGAATTCCTTGCTACACACGTTTTTTCGCACAAAATGCCATAAATTGAAGGTTGCTAAAATATGTAATTCTTTTAAGTATTAATATCCTCTCTAAGTGATATTTATAGATTATATTTTCGTTACATGAAGCAATCAGATTAATCTACATGCCCTTAATTACCTATAAAATGACAATTATTTACTGATAAGATAAATGCATACTACATTAAAATTATAATGTTGTATGCAAAGTTAATTATTTTCCAGCAAGCGTTTTTCTGTGTTTGAAATACCATGGAAAGATAATCACACTCGAGATAATTTCATCCAGTACAGTTTATAGCGCAGTTTTAATTAGGGCTGTTTAATGGATAATCCGAATAAAATGGGCTCTCCGCAGGGAAATATTGAACCTGCTGGATCGGGACCACGATGCAATTCCTTTTCATCGACATATCGAGAGATACGGAGAGACTCTTCTTTCGTCGACTAAGCGATTCCAGCTATTCGCGCGGCCGCCGTCTGTCGTCTCTTCATTTCCCGAGAGTATTATTTCCAGAGGACTATTATCAGCGCCACGGGGATCCATTATTCTATTTTCACCGAGCGGAGTCTATTCGCTTCCTCGCGGGTCAATATCGTATGCAGAATTAACGCCGTATTCTAGAAATTCTTGATTTCTTCTTCTATTTGCAAATACTCCGATTTCGTGATCGCGCTGTTACTGATTAAACAATACACAATATTAAAATCTATAAATATAATACTATAATCTGATGTTTCTTGAATCATCACGATATTTCGAGGATGTACATCGATCAAACGACAGGCATTATTGTGGCTGAATTTTTATATATTTATTTTTACATATTTATTTTTACGATTTAAAAATATCTTAGAAATTACGCTTCGCCACAGGAATTCTCCAGATTATACAATGATTGAGATTCGTTCAAAATCATTGCAAGCGATAATTGCCTGAATTCTATGCTCGGAATGGCTTAGCCATTTTAAAGTGGTTTATTGGACATGATGGTAATAAAATAAACGATGTCGTAATATCGACTTAAAATGCTTTGGCTTTCGATTTAATTAACCGGATCGAAGGATCAATTAAAACATGATGATTGCGGAAAAGACATGGAGATTAAAATAACAAAACCTGGAGGACTTGGTACAATGCCTACATTATTTTTCCATTTCTTTGCCTCGCTTCTTAATATTCCAGCCGTGACAGTTTCTATCGTACATCGTAATATTTCTTATGCAGTGCAGATTGCTTAATTTTATATTATTTTCAACAGATTTAAGCTTAATCATGTTCGTCTATCAATGACAAATGAAGCGATAACGATAAATCAAAATATAGGAAATAAAATATGAGAAATGGTGGATATCGCTTGTATTACAATTAACGTTCTCTGTTAAAACAAATATTTAAATAATTCATCTATTATTCGGATTTTCCGTAGAAAAACTCGAGGTGTAACAATTAACGTTCTCTGTTAACCCTCTATGAGCCCGTGTAACTTTCAGGTCACATTTTAAATGAAAAATTTTTTTTCATTTGCTTATATAGGTTCCTAATTGCTGACTTTTCGTTCCCCCAATTTTTTTTTATTTAAAACAAAAATTCGGCCCATAGAGGGTTAAGACAAATATTTAATTAATTCATCTATTATTCGTGTAACAGTGTTAGTCAGTTTTGGCATTGAATTAATTTTTTGCAACGACACATCTGCAGGTTTCACAAAAAAAAAAAAATGTTAATATTTTCAGAACCGAAAAAGCGACGTTTTCATCCACTTCGGGGACTTCGGAGAATTTTCCGTAGAAAAAGTCGAGGTGCTGCCGATTCTAGACTGAGTCCTGGTATCGGCGATCAAGATGGTGACTTAGTGAACCGAAACCGAGAAAATATCACTCTCAGGCATCCTGCAGGACGTCCTGAGGAAGCTCGAAGTCGCAGTGCTAGCGAACTCCTGACGGATTCCTGTGACAGAGACAGGTATCTAAAACCTCCCATTAATTATAGGGGATGCATATTAAGGATGTAAAATTTGAATAAAAAGTACTAACGTTACCCAAATATACGTATTCAACGTATATGTCATTACTTTTGGAAAAATGATAAGCGTCGAAATTGAATCTAATTTTTGTATCTTCATGTCAAAATAGCTTTTCTCTATTAATTTGTTTTAATACGGTATAGAATAAATGTTACTGATCAGATATTCAGAAGCTCAGGTAGTCTTCAAATTTCACATTCTTCGCTTATGTGTCTTCTTAAGCATTACTCATTGACAGAACTAAAAGTCGGCAGGACGTCGGAACTGCCTCTACTAATCAAGTGACATTATCGAATATAGGAAAGAGATATGGCAAGGATGATTTTGAGGAAGATTCAATAGATCTTTATTTTCGTTTTAGCAAACCACCGACCGGCTGGCAGAGAAAGTACAGAATAGCTTCGACGTCCCTCAAAACACGTCAATCCTTCAAACAGTAAATATGGATTCGTTAAACCAATCGGTCGTTCATGATCGATGTTTGTCAGAGTGTCTTGTGTCTTTTGCAGCCATATGTGCAGTCCTTACTTGAGTTGATTTGTGTCCATTGAGGCTTCCATTTTAACGTCGATGAAATATGTTACACATAATTTACACTCCCAATTTCCAGCTTTACTTTGCTTAATCTACACCTAGAAAAAAAATGCTTTTAACCGATTAACAATGAATTTGTTAACAAAATTAAGCTTTATCAAGCGGGGAAGCTGTCCCTTAATCGTATAAATGAATTAAAATAATTAATTCAGTTAATCATTTTTCTTAATTTAATGATTTTTTTTATATAACCCAATTTTTGTTTACTCAAAAAATTATTTTACTGTGAAGATAAAGTTTGTTTATTGATTAAATGAAATTATGGTAAAGAGCAATACTGACGTGAATAAATGTATTGAAAAAAAGCATTTCTCTGGGTGTACTCCTAACAGAATTACGATGCTTGGCATTTCAGTCTCAAATTAAGTGCAGCATTCCGTAGAAAGCAAAATAAGGTTTTATTTCTCTGCGATTAACTTGCACTCGCAAAAATTATCGCTTTAATACTATTTAATTACGCCTAACAATAAGAACTTAACTCACGGGAAGCATATTTTCGTTCACTTTTTCCCTCGTTTTTTCTTATGCTAAGATTTAACATTCGATTACCTCTCGTTATAGCGCACACATTTTTCCATAAAAGTGGCAGTTGTACAAAACATAAAACAAATTCTCAGAACGCGGTCCGCCGGTAATTGTAGGCATTCTCGAGTGCAGTGCTAAAATGTCCCCTGTAACATTTTTACTTTTAGTAGGAAAACGCCAGAATGTGGTACGCTAACGTTACGGTTATAGGCATTACGTAATTATTACATTCCGACTGATCTTTACCACCTGTGCGCACACTGTAACGTTTATTGTACGAGAATGGGACAAACATTTGCCTCGGAAAAGATAATCACCTTATTGACAGAACAGGTGGTACGTGAAGTTAATTTAGACCCACGGGTACCGATAATCAGCTACGCTTCATACTTTCACGGAATACCGTTGGGTTGTCGTCGAACAAAAATAATTGTAATAACCGCCTCGTACTGTGGCAAGACTTATGGTCGTTTCTATTACAACGTATACAGCTCGTTTCATCGCCGGTACATGCGGGATTTCATAAAGATAACGACCACGGAATAATCGCATGCATGCATTCAAGATTCCAAGATCGCGTAAATTCTTATCGATAACCAAATTCGCGTGAAGCTTGCGTACCCCTTCAGCTTGGAAAAATGACTTTTTTTGTCCGTCGTTAAGGTGAAGTGAAACCCCCCTTTAAATCAGTCGATTCGAATACAACACTTTTTTTTAAGGGTATTGGACCAAACTGTCCGAAACTTTGACACATCGCTCCTGATCATCTAACAATTGTCCTGACACATTGAAAATTTGGATTTTTTAAAAAAGTTTTTTAACTCAGCCCAGACCAAAATCAAAATGGCGGCGAGTTCTCATATTTCGATCGATATATTCGATCGATAATTGTCGAAGGCTTTGATATGAGAAACGAAAGAGTCAGAACAATTTTACGATAATTTAGAACACTCTGGTAGTCGATAAACTCGCATTTGAACGGGATAAGGGCAAAAAAAGTGTTGTATGCGCTTCTATGCTAAAACGATGGGAATACGAGGTCTCGGAGTGAAAATTTAATTGACCTGGAAATCACAGATGGCGCAGGGTGTCCCTCTGCAGTCAATTAGGGCCCCAGAAAGCATGAATCCAGAGGATTTCTGGAGTTTTACTTCGATTTCTTGACATTTATTGTACGAAAACGTCAGGTGGAGTATGTCATTTGGTACAATACCCAATATAATTCGACACAACTGTCAATATAAAAGCAAACGTCAGTAACGTAGGTAGTTAGGAAAATCTTCTTTATCGACGTCGATCAAGTTCCTCGACGTGTTTCACTTCACCTTAAAGGGGGTCTGAAAATGCGAAATCTGCTGGGTGTTTTACAGTAATTCGCAACTCGCTAGAAAGTCATTCCTGAAATTCTTATTTCTTGTGCGGAGATACTAAAAAAATGGAGTACTATTTGGAAATTATCTACATTCTTTGGAATGACAGATTAGGAATGTGATTTGAAAATCAATTAAGTTGAAATTCGTGTTTGTTCTGTAAAGAATGGGCCATAAGAAGATGTGAAAGTGGCGTGAAAGAGTTCTCGTTCACGAAACTTTTCTCCAAACCGGGTATACCGAATCTATTCAAACTTTATGATATCAATATGAAGGGTATAAGGAAGGTCTTAAAGCTCATGAAATTTTAATTTTTGACAAATTTGTTCACAGATGTTTTAAAAACTTGTTATAAAAGATGAAATTTCATGAGTGTCGGGACCTTCCGTAGAAGCACCACCCACACGTTTTAAAGTGTGAAACGATTCGGCCAGTTCAGAGAAAAGTATCATGATCGGTTGATCCTTCAGATGTCACTTTCACGTCCCCTTACAAACCTTATATTCGAATTCGGAGAGTAAATGAAAATTTGGGAAAAACTGTATTTTTGTAACAATTAACTAGAAATATCTGGACTGGCTTAGCGGAAGCTTTCTGAAAATTACTTAAGTTGAAATCCGTATTTGTTCTGTAAAAAATGAGACATAAGAGGATGTGAAAGTGGCGTGAAAGAGTTCTCGTTCACGAAACTTTTCTCCAAACCGGGTATACCGAATCGATTCAAACTTTACGATATAAATATGAAGGGTGTAAGGAAGGTCCTGAAGCTCATGAAATTTCAATTTTTGACAAATTTGTTCACAGATGTTTTAAAAACTTGTTATAAAAGATGAAATTTTATTAGTGTCGGGACCTTCCGTAGAAGCACCACCCCCACGTTTTAATGTGTGAAACAATTCGGCACACCCAGTTCGGAGAAAAGTATCATGATCGGTTGATCCTTCAGATGTCACTTTCACGTCCCCTTGCAATCCTCATATTCGAATTCTGTGAGTAAATCAAAATTTGGGGAAAACTGTATTTTTGTAACAATTAATACGAAATCTCTGGACTGGCTTAGCGGAAGCTTCCTGTAATTACCCCAGTAGATTTTCACCTCGTCTTAATTGTACCCTTTCCGTTAATGCGCGTTCCTTTTGATTTTAGTATCTTCCTACGGCGAAGCGGCGTGGAAGAGTCCTTCGCGAAATTACGCGGCGGTACCGCACAACTCTCGGTGTCTCACGACAGCGTCTTCCCCGGAGAAGTGGCCCACAGCCGGCCGCTCTCTTCCCTGGATACTCTCGCTACTTTGGAGGTTGGTAATCAACACTTTCGCTACGCCTGACCTGCCCATAAGTCTTCCTACGTTGGCCATTCTCACCGGGGAAATTCCCCGACGACTATTTCGGTCCGCAATAAGGTCAATTACCGGAATAGAAGCGGCCGTACGCACCGCCGGTAACCGCAAATTGCAGACTCTTCGAGGAAATGGTACCACCTTCTCAAGTGTCGCAAAACTTGGAACGGTGCATGTGTTAACTCGGAAATCTCGTTAAGGTGATATGTGCCCATAATTGTGAAAGTGGTCTAAGTCAAAATTGAAAAAAAAAAAATGAGTTTATCAGTTATTTCACGCCACATTATTTCAAACTAAATTAATTCAATGTAATTTCGAAACAAAAAATACATGACTTAGACACTTTCATAATTAATGACACATATGAAAGGGGCATTCTATACATTAAAACGTAAAAATATTTATAAAACTTTCCTCCAAACTGGGGGCACCGAATCATTTGAAACGTTAACACGTTATTACGGAGACCCTAAGGAAGAACGCGATGCTCGTAAAGTTTCATTTCCAAAATAAAATTTTTTTTTATTTAGCTTAGAGTAGAACCAAATTTACGTTTTTTTTTTTTTTGTAAAAAATGTAAATTTCACGGGCATCGAGTTCTATCTCAGGATTTTCATAACCACGTGTTAAAGTTTGAAATTATTCGGTGCGCTCAGTTTGAAGAAAAGCTTTATAAGTATTTCGACGTTTTATATGTATATAGAATGACCCTTTCATATCGCCTTAAATCGATTTGTTTTCTCGAAAAAGACTTTGGGATTCCAAGATCAATTCAATTTTATCCTTGCCATTCGCGGGAGAAAAATGTTTATACTTGGAAATATATCTGGGGCGATTTTGAGGAAGTAATAATATTTTCAATTAGATAGCGAACGCCAACGCATTTTGTTCAGGATATTTCTTTCGGTCTATTTTTGACGAGTCGTTACTAAATTAGAAGCAATCGGAAATGGTTAGCTGAATCTTACTTTCCGTTACTTCCGAGACTACAAAAATGTGAAGGGAGTTCTTTTCTACGGTGAAACCTGTTCTGGACGGTTCATTAAATCGCTTATCACGGACCCTTAATTATCCGTTATCCTCAAGGTAGTCGTCAACATTGTATTGCAGAGTCACAATTTCTCAACTGAAAAGTTAACGAGCAGATATCGATGACCTTTGTTGCAAAATTAAAAATCGAACGTGGACACCAAATGCTTAATTTAATCGATATTCTTATCAAACCCTAATGACTTACAGAATATATCATTATTTAATTATCAAATTAAAAATCGAACGTGCACACCAAATGCTTAATTTAATCGATATTTTTATCAAATCCTAGTGACTTACAGAATATATCATTATTTAATTATCAAATTAAAAATCGAACGTGCACACCAAATGCTTAATTTAATCGATATTTTTATCAAACCCTAGTGACTTACAGAATATATCATTATTTATTTATCAAATTAAAAATCGAACGTGGACACCAAATGCGTAATTTAACCGATATTTTTATCAAACCCTAGTGACTTACAGAATATATCATTATTTCTGTTTATTTAAATCCTGAAGGAGAAGCGCTTTTTGGTTTTCCCTTCAAAATGGAAATGTTGAAAAATTGGCAAAGTTAATAAGAATAATAATTTTCTTTGCATCCGTTAATTTTATTTCAATTAATATATTCAATGTCCAAATTCATTAATTTAAACTGAATCTGTTAATATCTGATACATACCGATATGATATAGATTTATTATTCATTCCGAGTAACTGGTGCAATTTTCTGAGAACTAGTAGTAAAGAATTTTGTCGATGCAACGATCGTCTCCATTAATCAGTCTCCTATCATGCCGTAGACTTTAATTTGAATCACAGCACCATGGCATTCCGAGCACGTGTTAACTAACTTAAGACCGATACATATGTTGTCTGCTGTTGCGTGCCTCGCTTGCTAACACCTATGGTATAATTATCTGCGAAAGACTCGCCGTTATTCTAAGAACCTCACATACTAAATATCTATGATTGATTGACATGATGGTATAAATGAAATTTTCCAAAGTACCAAGCGTACTTTTCGGTAAAAACTAAGATCCATATTCAGAAACGAGGTAAAAAAATGAAAACATATCTTTAGCGTAGCGTCATGAATTTAATGGAGATATCCTTTCAATACCGTTTCGTTTATCAAAAGTATACTAAATTTGATATTTTGCCTAAAAATTGAAAAAGAAAAGAGGCGACGTCCACGGTAATAATATTCTAAAAATTCAAAAACGCTTACGTGATTACCGAAACGCCAATTCGTTTTTCTGTTCACTCTCTAGAAATTCATGTAGGAATTTTTAGAGAGCTAAACATTCAATGTTTACGATAAGCCATTTTCTTCGCATAAATATCTTATTGTAGCATTGATCCTTATTTAGAAGACCCTTCTTTTTGTTCACAGCGAAGGCAAGGCAAGTCCGGAGATTCCGTTCACGTTGACAAGGAGACCACCCCGCGCGTCGTGCACAGGCACAGGATATCCCTTCGGGTGAGTTTCATCTTGTGGTCTATCGATATCTAAAGTACCCTTTCCTGGGTATGCGAGTCAGGCGCATTGCTCGTCGACGAGGAATCGTTGGCTGTTACGATCGGCGTAATTGGATTTAAAAGGTATGCCGTGTGCGCAGGTGCTGGAGCAGATCAAGACGGTCATAGAGAACCGGAATCAGCTGGCCACATCGACCTCCGGTTTGGAGACGAGCATCGTGCACGTAAGTATTCCTGGATCCGATGTGGCACTAATACAGTCAGTTGAAGCTAAATTAACAAGAATTATTTACGTAATCGGCCCCTTTTCCCTTTCCGATATTATTATACCTTCAAGCTCCCTCGATAAGCTTGATTCTTTTCGGCTTGGAAACTTAAACCATTCACTTCCGTTAACGAGGCGCAAAACTAAAGATAATTAAAAAGGAAGAACGCAGTCAGTTGAAGCCTAATCAACAAGAATTATTCACGCAATCGGTCCTCTTTTCCCTTTTCGATATTATTATACCTTCAAGCTCCCTCGATAAGCTTGATTCTTTTTGGCTTGAAAACTTAAACCATTCACTTCCGTCAACGAGGCGCAAAACTAAAAATAATTAAAAAGGAAGAACGCAGTCAGTTGAAGCCTAATCAACAAGAATTATTCACGCAATCGGTCCACTTATCCCTTTTCGATATTATTATACCTTCAAGCTCCCTCGATAAGCTTGATTCTTTTCGGCTTGGAAACTTAAACCATTCACTTCCGTTAACGAGGCGTAAAACTAAAGATAATTAAAAAGAAAGAACGTCGTCAGTTGAAGCCTAATCAACAAGAATTATTCACGCAATCGGTCCATTTATCCCTTTTCGATATTATTATACCTTCAAGCTCCCTCGATAAGCTTGATTCTTTTCGGCTTGGAAAGTTAAACCATTCACTTCCGTTAACGAGGCGCAAAACTAAATATAATTAAAAAGGAAGAACGTCATCAGTTGAAGCCAAATCAACAAGAATTATTCACGCAATCGGTCCTCTTATCCCTTTTCGGTATTATTATACCTTCAAGCTCCCTCGATAAGCTTGATTCTTTTCGGCTTGGAAACTTAGACCATTCACTTCCGTTAACGAGGCGCAAAACTAAAGATAATTAAAAAGGAAGAACGTAGATCACCAACTTCCAGTCATACTTGATAGTTCCAACTTTGCGAGCGCAGGGGACACTAACAAGGAAGGTATCCCAGGTCGATCTCTCCGATTTGATTTCTTTTATAATATGTTATAGTAGACTAAAAACTAAGCGACACGTATTTTTTTTTATATTTGCCATTAAACACTTTAAGGGGGTGAAACCACCATCCAAAGTAAGGCATGTCAAGGGCCGATTTGGCAGTTTCATCCACAAGAACATAATATTTGTTCACTAATCTAATTGGAAAAGTTTTCTCATAACGAGAAATGAAGAATATAATTTTCTCAATTAAAAAAAAATTAAGAGATGAGCCACCCCTACATGTGATTACATTTATACAAGAAATGGTCAAATTGAAGTCTAAAAATCTGAAAAAAATATATGTTGTGTATGAACACGAAGGAAATACGACGTGTCTTTAAATTTTCCCGAAAAAAAAATATTGGTCGGGGCAATTACCTCCGAACGCTCACCCCTCTGAGGGGTGGCTCATCCCTTAATTTTTTTTTATTGAGAAAATTACATTTTTCATTTCTTGTTATGAGAAAGCTTTTCCAGGTGGACTGGTTAAAAAATATTATGTTCTTGTGGGTGAAACTACCAAATCGCCCCTTGACATGCCTTACTTTGGATAATGGTTTCACCCTTTTAAAGTACTTAATGGCAGAAAAAAAAAATACGTGTCGCTTAGTTTTTAGTCTACTATAACATATTATAGAAGAAATCATATCGGAGAGATCGACCTGGGATACCTTCCTTGTAAGTGAAAAACGTGATAAAAGTAAAAATGTGTTTCATGAATTATCACGTTTTACTATAATTTTCCAAGGTTTATTATTGGGAGACTACGAAGTAAACGTTCGGATGTAAGGTTTTATATTCTAAATCTGAAATTCAATACTCTAGATTTATCAAAGTAAATTCACCCTTTAGAGTTTTCGTTGGCTCCTCATAAAACTTTTTGAAACTCAAGCATGGATTTCTCGGTCCCTCTAATTATGGAGGAACAGGGTGATAATATTCACTTTTAGGATGGGTCTGTGAAAAATATTCTTCTCGGTGGAGTAGTGAAATTTCAACTCTTTCAGGATTTTCCGATATTTATGAAAGTATAACGAAAGTCTTCACAGAGGGATTTTCTGCCCTTTACTTTTTTAATATGTAATAAAATTATGGATGCGGAATTAGAATAGATATCAACAATAATACTCGTTACGTTTGAACTCTAGTAAGAATTGTTAATGAATTATTTCATCCAATGTATTGTATTTTCTTCTTCTCCTTTCCATGCTCGTCAACTCTTTTAATTACACCCATATTTTATTCTACTTTATTAATACAAGCATTTTATTGCTAATGTAAATATCTTAATACATTCAGAGTGAAATACACGTTCCATCAGATGTACATTATTTACTATTAATTAATTTAATTAATTAAGCATTAATCATTCTCGATACGTTACATTCGGTACCATTTCAAATATATTAATATCCCTTACATTTTTCTTCGTGTACACGAAAATCTGAATTGATAGAAAATATTCCATGGAAACCCCCATACCTAACTAGGAAATCTTTCGAGACTAATACCTCGAATAATTTTTAAATTACATCCGTCCAGTCTTTACACTTATGTTCATGTGTCCGTTATGCCCGAACAAAGGAAATTACCCGATTCACAAAACAAGCGCATATGGCGAGCTCGAAGTTGGCCATTTGTGGTTCTCATAAAGCCTTCAAGATGTGGGGCGTCCAGTAATAACGGGTTAGCTTGAGTTTCCAAGTAAAAAAGGATCGGCACTCCAGATTTTCTATCGTAACATTGTATATCTTGGGTGACCCCTTTAAATGTATCTCTAAAGATTCCCACCACTATTAGATTGCATAAATCTACGGTGCATATTCCTGTTGGATGCTCTATCTAGCACCGCCTCTGATGTCACGATCTCTTTTTGCGTTGCAGTCCACCGGAGAGCGTTATCACCAGGAAACCACCGAGGTGAGATAGCGTTCGAGCAGCACTTTCATAAAACCAACCTCAGCACTCGACGTAAATGACCACGATTCTCCCGGTTACGCCCCGAGACCTAGTTGCAAACGGTAGTCGCAGTTCGCGAGTTCATCGGAGATGAGTCGACCGTCGATGTTCAGGAGCACCGGTGCTCCATCCAAATCGAACACTCTGCAATGAACCCGAGAGGACGTGGTGGTGTACTTAACAGAAAATGTATTTAGTTTTACCGTCCCTCTCCGAGGACGACCGAATTTCGGGCCTTCGAGTTGATTTACGCGAGGGGTTTTTGCAATTGAATTACCGGGTTCTGGTCGGCATTGAACGACCTGCTCGACGACGTCGAAAGAATCCACCGGTTCGTCAAAGTACCTTTAACTCGTCGACTTTTCGCTTGCCTCGGTGAACCGGGTCATGAAACGTGACGGCCGATCCTGACCGAGGAGCCATCCGCGGATTTTTAACGCCGTTCAAACCACGGCCCACTGAAAAATGGGGGTAAGGCTCTTCAGGGTCATTTCACGCTTCGCATGAGATGTCTTCATCGGTTGAAACGAGCGTACACGACTGTTCTCCCGATTCCTATATACGACCATTTGCCTCGTTGGCTCGGTAGTAAACATCGGTTTTCTCTATGCTTTCAGAACCGCTTCGCTGGATTCGACAAGCATGAGCGAGTACACGAAGAGACTCAAGTTAAGGTGAGTACCAGGCTATTCCTTAAGAACGGGACTGAAACACCCTTCAAATCAGTCGATTCGAATACAACACTTTTTTTAAAGGGTATTAGACCAAACTGTCCGAAACTTTGACACATCACTCCTGATCATCTAAGAACTGTCCTGACACATTCAAAATTTGGATTTTTTAACAAAATTTTTTAACTCAGCCCAGACCAGAACCAATATGGCGTCGAGCTCTCATATTTCGATCAATATACAATTATCGAAGACTCTGATATGAGAATCGAAAGGGTCAGGACAATTTTACGACAATTTAGAACACTCTGGTAATCGGTAAACTCGCATTTGAACAGAATAAGGGCAAAAAAGTGTTGTATGCGCTTCTATGCTAAAACGATGGGAATACGGGGTCTCGGAGTGAAAATTTAATTGACCTGGAAATCACAGATGGCGCAGGGTGTCCCTCTACAGTCAATTAGGGCCCCAGAAAGCTTGAATCCAGAGGATTTCTGGAGTTTTACTTCGATTTCTTGATATTTATTGTACGAAAACGACAGGTGGAGTATGCCATTTAGTACAATATTCAATGTAATTCGACACAGCTGTCAATATAAAAACGAATGTCGGCAACGTACGCATTTAGAAAAATCTTAATCGACGTTGATCAAGTTCCTCGACGTGTTTCACTTCACCTTAAAGTTCCGATAGGGATTCGGGTAAAGTAACGTAATACACGGCCGACGCCATGTTGGTTCTAGTCCATGATGAATAAATCAATTCTTCTACGAGAAATGAAATTACGTGAGTTTCGGAACCTTAGGGCTTTCATTTTCATTTAGTCAAATTTGAAATGAAGGTACATTCAATTCGGAGAATAATTTCACGAACGATTGGACCTTCTAGATATATATAGGTTGACCCTTTTATATCACCTTAATATCGCGTTCAGCGGCTGAAGAAAAGATACTGGTCTTAGATTTCTTTTTTCTACCATATTAAAAAATTGAACAAAATCGGAGACAGGGTACTAAAGTGACCTTTCTTGTTAATTAAACTGCAGTACCTATGTTATTAACGAAACATCAGGCCTTCTCGAAATCTTAGTAACACGGATAACGATTAAGCGATAACGTCGCATAATCGATTCGAGATAATTCTCGGTTGCGGTCTATCGATATCAATTCGCAGACGAAATCGGCGAGACATTGTCGCAATTCGTAAATGCCACGTTGCTTGCTAAGCGATGTCCTCAGCTAAAAATGTAGAAATAATGACCATCTCTCCTAGGTAATTTATGTACGTTACGTACTAAACTTAACAGTTAAAAATAGCTACTTTTTCAAAAAACACTGAAACAAGCGCGACCTTTGATGTACCAGACCTCAAATTGCAGGCAGTAAAAAACGACGAATCTTTTGCGTTAAAGAAAAAGACTCATAAACCGACGTTCTTTCGGCGCATCGTCCTCCAAGTAGAAAATAAAGAATCTTACAAGAAACGTACCTGAGGTGTCCCCCTCCGATTTTGTTCATTTTTAAATATGTTATAGAGGACTAAAATCTAAGGGACTCGTGTTTTTTTTTGATCGGCTGATAAACACTTTTAAGGGGTGAAATCAGGCTTCAAGGTTGGCCGTGCAAGGGGGTGAATTGGCTGTTTCATATAGAAGCACTCGACCGATTTTCATGAAACAACCGTCAAAATGTAGGGAATGAAGAATTGTGAAACATGCATTTGGAATTTTTCGAAAAAATTCATTTTTAAGAGGTGTCACCCCTTTGAATACTTCTTTTACCCCTTACGCGAGCAGTAATTGTTCTATCCAAATGAAACTTTTTTTGTATTGTTCTGGTCTATAAATTAACCAAGTTTCATCTGGATAGAGCAATTACTGCTCGCGTAAGGGGTAAAAGAAATATTCAAAGGGGTGGCTCACCCCTTAAAAATGAATTTTTTCGAAAAATTCCAAATGCACGTTTCATAATTCTCATTTCCTACATTTTGACGGTTGTTTCATGAAAATCGGTAAAGTGCTTCTATATGAAACAGCCAACTCACCCCCTTGCACGGCCAACTTTGAAGCCTGATTTCACCCCCTAAAAGTGTTTATCCGCCGATAAAAAAAAACACGGGTCCCTTAGATTTTAGTACTCTACAACGTATTTAAAAATGAACGAAATCGAAGGGGGACACCTCAGATACCTTCCTTGTTAGATCCGCAGTTTATTAAACAAAATAGTCAGACGTCAAATACTCAATGTTTACCTTTCTTTGACATAGGAAATGTAAACAAGCCATGAAAACTTTCTATCCGAACACCGTGGCGTCCCGTAGCGAGCTAAAGCGGTACCAAGCAACAGGTGGCTGAAGCCGAAAACGGCGATCAGCTGTTCTATCAAAGAGAGCGCGCATTAATAACTACCCAGAGTGCCGACAATAGGGAACGCTCGTTGAACTTGCCGATTCCCGTTCCTTCACCCATCGTGGTTCCCGCAAAGGGAAGTCCGCGTTACGGGCAAAACGGGAGAGGATTTTCCACGGTTCAGCTGACGCGAGAAGTCCGGAGCGTTCCCAGGCAGCGTTCCTCGACTTCTGCCGGGTAATCGCCGTTAAAGTTGGGGACCGGTGCAGCCGTTTACACGTGCCGGCTATAATCGAAGAGGGTTGTTGCTCGCGAAACTCTCCGTTCGCCTAGTTCCTACGTTAAAAGCGTTCCGCTTACGTCGCGGGCGCGGTGCTCGTGGAAGTGGCGCGAAGTTAGCGCACGGTGTTCATCTTCGTAATGTTCTCACCGAACGATCGCGCCGTTGATCCTCGGACTCGAGCGGCGTGTCATTATTTCCGGCTGGCCAACGTCCCGTTAGCGTTGTTCCAGGCGTCTTCCGATGACTCCCGGTGGGATTTCTTTGCCACTCCTGGCGCCGCGTTCGCCGCCTTACCGAAGACTCTTCCCCGCGCGTTCGTGCTCCACTTGGCGCAAATCGCTTCTCTCTCTTCTTGCTAGAGAAACGGCGATATCGTTTCGCCTTCCGATGTTCATTGTTGCGATAGATATCTAAAAGGGGTGATGCAGAAAATGCGGAGTTTAATTCGCCGTCGTTAACTTTTACACGTCCCAAATGGCGTTAGATTGACGTTAGCGATGAAAGTTTATACAATGCAATTAATTGTATCAATTCAAAAACGATGTTGTCGAACCAAGTCGGATGAAACAGCGCAAATCGCTTCTCTCTTTTCTTGCTAAAGAAACGGCGATATCTTTTCGCTTGTATCTCTTTGCCTTCCGATGTTCATTGTCGCGATAGATATCTAAAAGGGGTGATGCAGAAAATGCGGAGTTTAATTCACCGTCGTTAACTTTTACACGTCCCAAATGGCGTTAGATTGACGTTANATATTTCAAATGTCTGGTAAATATTTACAAAATGTAGGATATTCGTTAAATATATAGAAAATATAGGAGAAATATTTTGTGCTACTAGGGGAGGCTCCACCGAAAGAAGTCGGTGAAATTAAAAATATACCTCAAATAGCGAGGGTGGATAAGAAATGGCTGCGCACGAGATACAGCCGTGAAATGGTGTTACCGTTACTTGGCCCGACACGTCTGGTAAGGCGAATCGGCACATCGCTCGATGTTGTCGCTCCACGCTCCGCCTCGCTTTGATACTCGTGAGCTAAATGTGCATTAATGTCCGTAACTTCAGAATAATTCGATCGGTCAGAGAAGGGATTACGTTTAAAACTGTTTTACCGAGAAAAGACTCGTCAACATTCTGAAGAGTTTAGACGCGCAACTGTTTCACGTATTTTATTTGAATTACCCAACACATGAAAACACCTACAGATAAGCTAACGAAAAGAAAACACAATTTACTAATTCAGATGAATCTTTTAGCTTTACTGGGAAGCGTTGCGAAGGTATAAGCCCTTAAGGTGATATCAAACGGTCGTTATATACATCAAATCGTGAAAATATTTATAAAACTTTTCTCCAAACTGGGTGCATCGAATCATTGGAAACTTCGACACGTGATCATAATGACCCTAAGTAAGAACGCGATACTCGTGAAATTTCATTTTTCAAATTTTTTTTTTTAATTAGCCTAGACTAGAACTAAGATCACATTTTTTTTTGTGAAAGATGAAATTTTACGAGCATGGCGTTCTTCCTTAGGGCCTTTGTAATAACGTGTTAACGTTTCAAATGATTCGGTGCACCCAGTTTGGAGAAAAGTTTTGTAAATATTTTGAGGTTTTATATATATAGAACGACCCTTTCATGTCACCTTAAAGATATGCGTACATTGGGTAACAATTGACGCAGGATTTAACATCTAAAAATTGAATGAAAGGAAGACTGAAAGTCCTTTTATACACACCCAATCCGTCTCGGATGCAGTTCCGGTTTGTACAGACATGTATACATCCGCCATTTACATTGGCGGTGCCATTCTCTATGGAAGGCATTTTATGTTCGTCCCTGTACAAACCGGAGCCAGATCGGACATGTGTAAATGGACCTTTAAAAAGTAATTCGATGCAATGACAACAAATTTGAAAATCATAGGATAATCGCGGCTCGATTGTAGAAACTAAATTTTTATTATTATCTTATAAACATTCGATATTGTAAATTGAATATCAATGTTCGGTAACTTTTCGTTATCGATTGAGTTTGTTACGTTTAAATTCGACACAAGCAAAGATTTGATTTCAAAATTAAAATTTACGGGTAATGACATTCTTCGTTTATTAATTATGATTAACTAGAATAAATTTAAACATCTTATATAAATGTATCCAATGATAGATATAAAGTTTTTACCAGGAAACTCAAGAACAGTAATTGAATGATAACAAATGCTATTTATTAAATCTTCAATGAGTGGCAAGGGAACGTGAATTATAGAACTCTAATTCCTTGATTAGTTTTGTCGGTAAGTGTCCTGTAACATACCGGCTTAGTAAGAACATATACTGGTAACGTAGTTCTCGGAAGTTCAGTTGGTAAAACA